ACTGTATCTCCTTGAACCTCTCCGCCCCCTCCGGTCCCGCCCTATCAGGGTGAAACCTTAACGCCAGCTGGCGGTAGTTCCTTCGGATTTGCTCCTGCGTCGCATCGCGTGGGAGTTCAAGACTCTGATAGTAATCCGTCATTTCTGTCCTTTCCAAATCCTACTCCTTCTGCAGCGATCACCCAACAACGCGCAAGGAAAGTAACGCACATGATTGACACCCCCATTCCTTCCCCTCCCCTCCCTCAAAAGGAGGAGGCACAACAACGGTAGGAAAAAACACAAGCATCACAGGCAAGAGCGCCCCAAATCTTAAAAAATAAATCACAGAAAAAAAAAGCCAAATTGCCGTGACGACAAAAGCAAAAAACACACACACACACAAAAAGAGCTCCTAGAATATTCACTTGGGCCGCCGAACGGATCCTGCGGCTGTCAATAGGATTCACACAGGACGGGAATGAGAAGGGGTGAATGGGGATGGGGGTTCGCCAAATCCCCAATGAGTATTTACACCAAGTGAGCGCATATTTATATATGCACATTGTGTTGGCTACTATCGTAACTTGATCGCTCCATCCGGATTGGGCGTGCATGTACATATACATATATAAGTGTGTGTGTATGTATGTATTCACAACCTACAAAGTGGAAGACTTTGAGCCCCTCCAGCCGCAAGACGCAGCCGCAAGGTAAGGACCACAAAGGGGGCAAGTGGGACGGCAGAAACAAAAGCAATTAAAACTCATCCAGAAGTTATCGGTTCCCTGATTGCTACCATCGGAGTCTTCTAAAAGATTCATAAAATAGGAAAACCTCCCAAAGAAATACATTCCTTCAATCAGGATATACATGTATTTGGGCAGCCAGCCTTCCTCGCGAACACTCCGTTCACACGCTCCTAGTCTTCTGCTCGTCCACACACTTCATTTACTGCCAATCGCAAAGCACACATCATAGAACCAAAGAACCATCACACAAAGCCGAGGCAAATAAATAACAATGGAGGAAATCACAACCTACACAGGCGCCTCGCACACACGCACACACAGACCCTCTCTCCATTCACTCCACCTCTCACAAGGGTGAAGAAATGGGCAGGAAAATCCCGCCGCACAACGCATGCACGAGGGCGCACGCAGAGGCACCGCCAGCCACGTCGCACCGCAACAAAGGGCCATGGGCACAGCACACCCACGGCCGCAACAAGAGGGACGGGACGCATCCAAGTACACGCCGCAGTCCTTTACTTCTCGCTTCCCCGACGGATATGCATCACGCCTCACAGCAGGCCGTGGCATCCCACACTCGCAGCGAGGCACGGCGCACACCACCCGCTCCCCCGAGTGCACTCAGCAAGGCGCAGTCACCCTCGTGCCATCGCAGAGGGGAACACAAACAATCGTCGTTGCGGACCATCGGTGCCTCTAGCAGGAAAGAAATTAGAAGAAATGGAGGCATGTCAGCAACACAGTCAGCAGAGAGACAATAAAAGGGACACGGAGACACAAAATGACATGGGTCACGGCACAGACGGAAAGAGACGTAACGATTTACCAAAAAGAAAAAGAAAACATAAAAAAAAAAGAAAGAAAACAAACGTAAAAAAAAAAAGCGATTTGGCGGGAATTTCATTTCGTTTCCTCTGGAGTACAATACGACCGTGTTTTTGAGTTCATACATACTGTCCACACAGGAAAAAAAAAAAATTGTACTCTCCCACCAGCCCACACAACATTCCTCACATTTCATTGCGGCATCCGGCCTGTTCCTCCACTCCTCCTCTCGTGCAGTCCGTGGGACGCACGACAATGAGGCCGGCACCGCGTGTGGGTAACAAAAGCAAAAGCAAACAAGAGGGGGGAAACACATCACTCATGACGGTGCGCAGCAAGCGACCATTTGGGGGAAAACACACAGAGGTGCTGGTTATTTCAACAGAGCACCAGCAAAAAAGGAAAAAAAAGAAACGAGAAAAAAAAAGAAAAAGTAAACAAGTAGAAAAAAAAATGAAAGAGAAGCGAAAGAAAGCAGAAAGAAAAAAAAAGAATCATTCTTGAAATATTTGCGTAGTGCCGGGAAGCTGCACATTTGTTGTTCCACGAAAAGCCGCAATTCCACCCTCCCTCACACCTCAGCAGAGAGCCGCAGTGCCCCACAGCCCCAGAAGCAACAACAACACCCCAGACACACACCCATGCACGGTGCTGTCACCAATTAGAGCCATGGCCGCCAAATCACCGAACTGCCCGTGCTCAAGCAAAATGACATTGTCCAAGGGTATTGTTGCGTTGAACTCCGATGGGATCTTGGTTTCCCCAGGCGCTGTGCTCGAAGAAGTCTGTGCGGCATCAGCGCCACCCGACACGTTACCATTGCGGTGAGCGGTTGCTGGGTCTGTGCTGCTGTTCGTGCCCACGGCAGTGTGGGCATGCGTGTCCTCGTCACGGTCAGCGCCACCTGACACGTTAGTGCTGATGAATGAATCGGGGCCGCTGTTCGTGCCCACGCTCTCCAAAACATCAGGTGAAATGCTGTGCGGCGCCCGATCGTCGGTGTTGCCGTTCCGTGGAGAGTCTTCATCCGCTTTGTCCACCTGCCCCATCAGCGGTGAAGCCATGCTGGGAGGAAAGTGCTCCCCACTGACAGGCATCTCGGTTCCAAGTAACTCACGACTGCCCGCGCTCTGTGTTGGAGTCGATGCAGGCGCCAATGCACCGCTGTCGGGTGACTCTTCTTCCACCTTTTCCATATCAGCTGAGGTGGGGGGGACAATGACATCAGAAGATGTTTGCTTGGAAATTACCGGGCCACTTTTACTTTCTGACTTTTGTGCTGGTGTGTGTTGACTTCGTGGTGATGATGTGGCGTCTTGCTGCGCTTCAGGCGTGACGACGGGCGCAATGGCGGGATGACGAGAAGGTTCACTCACATTGGTAGTTTGTGCCGCAACTTCCTGGGCCGGCACCTTCGCCGCTGCAGCAGCGACTGCGTTCCTCTTCATTAACGCTTTGAGCTTTGCTTCGTTCAATGCGCGGTTGTACAGCAGGACGTTGCTCACCGTCACATTAATGTCGTCCGAGTTGTTCTTGGTGTCCCCGCCAATGTAAAAGTGCGAGATGCCGTGGGATCCCAACAGCGTTCGTAACTTTTGAGTAAAGTTGTAATCCTCCCCGTCCTCATAATCTTTGGTGTAGTATATCTCCTCTCCGTCCACGTACACACTCACGCCATCATTATAATCCATGTGCAGTGTCACCTGATATTTCTTGTTTGTTTCCCATCCAGCACCGTCATCATGGGCCAAGGGCTTCCGAAGACCGTCACTGAATGTTACCTCCCACTTCTTTTCGTGGGTGTACGAAAGACCAAAGAGCACAGTGCCTCGTGCATCGTTCATCCTCACACCCATCAAAGGGATAGAGCTGCTTCCCTTCGGCTCCTTGTGAATGGACACTGTCGCCACAAGAGTGAACTTGTCGTTCGCAAAGTGGTACGGCACATTCTGCCCCATTTTGCCAACAGGCCACTCCGCCCCTGCTCCGGACCCTTCGAAAGTCACACAATTTTCCGTGCTGGCCACCTTTCCTTTCGTTCCTTTCGTTATTGTGGCATTCACGCAGAGGTACTCGTCTGCCCACGTGCTGTCAGTTGACGTGTTGGATAAGAATCCAACCAGTCCCTCGGCAAGGGCTTCACCACAGTCACTGCGCCAGTTATTCTTTTCATTCCTGCAGCCGTATTCCCTCGCAATGTACGCGTCTTTCTCCTTCCATGCAGCCACCACCTTCTTCATCTCCTCCAACTTCTCCGTCAAGTCCACAAAAGCAATGTTGTATTTATCTCCCCCTGCAGCAACCTCGTACGAGCAGTACAGTTTCTTCTCTTCCTTCTTTTCTTCCTCTTCCAATGACGGCGCTTCGACAGTGGCGTACAGCAGAGTGCTGGCGGCGACGTTCTCATTCTCAGCGGATATCGGCCCAACATCATAAATTCGCTGCATGTCCGTCAGCCACAAGTGAAGTCGGCCCGTTTCTTTACCCGCCTCCCCGGAATATACCGGCCGACTGACGAGGATGAATTTCTGTTCATCGATCGTCGCGCTGATGAAGCCACCCTGCACGCCGTGCCCTGTACGATTCCGTGAGTTGCCCCACACGCGTGAAAGAGTGTCGTATTCCTCCGTCCATAGATTCCCCATGCTGCTTGACCGGTAAACCCTGCGGCTGCCGTCATCACACGACGTCATCATTATAAGATTTTTTTCCTTCCATTCAAGAACCGCAGGTTGGATGCATCCCTCATCACTCGTATGCTTTGAGAACTTCCAACTATAATAAGTACTGTTGGCAAGGATGACCAAAGAAACGTTCTTTCCATCACGGGTCAAGGCTTGAATAGGCAGCACATAGCGACTTTCGTCCTCCATCCTAATGCCTGCGCCACCACCACCCAGAAATTGTTTGAAGGGTTTGGGCTTGGTGCTGGTATCGTCCCAAAAGTCATAAGGAACCTTCGACGTGCTTCGATTTTGCCACTCAAACTGTTTCTTTTCCTCATCGTCTCCGTAATGCGGAACAACACCGTCCGCCATCCTGGGCATCCAATAGTCACCATCAGCCACCTCCGTCAATGGAGTCGTTGACGTGCCATAACCCCCGACAAGAGCATTTGTTTCATAACCATTACCATCCACAATGGTAGTTGGGCTCAACAGACGGTCAATTTTCACGTCGTAATGATCAAACACGATGGCAGTTCCATCCGTCCACGTCCCTCCATTGCTTTTCATCGACTTTGCAGCGATACTTACGCACGATTTTTGATCCGTGGAGTTTGTGTAATGCGCTTCAACAGTGGCCACAACAACACCATCCACGTAAACAAGAGAAGGTGCACGAAACGAATGAAACGCTTGTACCAAAGTGGCATTCATTGAATCAGAAAATGATTCACTTACTTGAAAGATGATTTTTTTCCCTGAATTACTCGCCTCAGCGGGGGCAGCTCCACTGCCGCAGCACACCATAACGAAGAGGAGGAGCAGCACCGCGGGATCGAACACACGACGGGAAATGCTGGGCATTTGCTGCTCACTTTCTCTTCCTTCCTCCTTCCGCTGGATCCGCTCACGCCGCAACGGTTGTGTTTTTGCTGGGTGCCTTGAATGCAGCAACACGTGAGGGTATACAAATATGTGTGTGTGGGCGGTGTACGGTTGGTCCTTTCAGAGCCTTCAGAGTGCACAGTAGCGATTAGCGCTTGTTTTCCTTCTTTGTGTGTATTCAAGAAGTGAAGAAGGAAAACAGCAGCAGCGGCAATACATCAGACACGCCAGCGGGGAGCAGAGCAGAGCACCCACGTGGAGAGCGGGACACAAGAAAATCCGGAAGGGTCAGCACGGAGAACCATCGCCCACAGAAAAGAGCAGCAACGCACACACACGGTGCGAGAAAAGCACTGACCCTCTCGCAGACACCGCACCCACTCGCTCCGCAAAAAACCAGCGCCACCCACCACCACTCCGCACCGGCCATCGCGGGCGTCACGGCGGGCTGTCGGTGTGTGCGGGCCAGCCCTCCCGCAGTGCAACACGCCTCACCCGAAAGGGAAAGACAGAAAGAGAGAAAGAGAGAGAGATGGATGGATGCCGTCAAGAGGCACTCACAATCAACATGGCCCGTGAGCATGCAGCCACTCCACGCAGGAACACACAACGCACACGGAGCGAGCACCCACACTGTTCGCTCATTCCACCCTCAATGAGATGTGGTGCTTCACTCCACGCGATGACATGGGGTGAATATCCGCCCGGGAGGCTGACCGAATGCTGAAATTATCTCTAGAAACCATGCAAGAAGAAAAAAAAGGATTAAATGGAATAAGAGTGTATTCGCCATATCCTCAAACTTTAACGCCAATTAATTGTATATATGTTATCTGATAGCCACAAGACCCCGCCGCTCCCCTCCGCAAGTTCCACCCCTTCGCCAAGTCCTAAAGTGTAAAAACACGACCGCGTGATATGCCGTCTGCGGGGTTTTCTGCAGACCGTATGTAGGCAAAGGTTGTCTGTACTCCGCAAGAGTCCAAAAGCCCTTTTATCCGTTGCAGCTCCCACGTCATGGCGTATGAATTTGGGCTGCCTTTATTCGCCGCTCCTTGCAGCGAAGTATTTTTCACCCAAACGTCGATGGTGGATGGCAAGATGGCGGAAAAGGCCGATAAGGCTAAGCGTACCGCGCGCACCTCGGCCTGCATGATAGAAAAGGATTCCTCTCCCATTTTCCTCCGGCAATTTTAACGTCGCCGGAGTCTGAAGAATGAAAACGGCTCCCCATCCATGGAGCAGCACATCCCTGGTGATGGCAGCCGGCGCCTCTTCTGTGGGCTTATTTTTTCGCCTACGATTATTCTCGATCATTTGTCGTAATCTCTCGCCCAAACCAGCCACTGACGGCGGAAGGTTCGCCGGGGATGTCTCCAGCAGAATCCCCGGTTAAGTGCGGATAATCGTCGTCGCACTGCCTTTCTGAAAAAGTAGTTGTCACATAAACGCGTGCACAAAATGGCCGCCAAATATAAAAAGCGTGACGCCACAACCTCCACTCCCGCGATGGCTGGTGAATTGAGTGCCGGCATGGCGCATGCAGACCGGACAAACCTGTCACTCAGAGATACCCCCCGGTGAGTGTGAACAAACTGCACCCCCAGGAAGGTGTAATGCGTAGCGCCCGATTCGCGTTCCTCCCTATCGTGGCGTGACAACTGTCCGCATTACGAAGCACTTGGGCCTCCCACATCGTCACGTCGCTTTTCAACCCTGTAATGCGTATATTTTCTATCCAAACGTCGATACGCACCAATGGAGGTGCGGCCCGAAGGCGGTGAGCCACCGTCGTCACCCCGCAATTGCCGAAGTAATAATAATCTGGAGAACTTCTGGGCCGGCCTTGTGTCCCATAGGGAGTCGTGTCAGCTCCACCAGCGTGCCGTCCTCCACGCGGCATCGAAAGAGATGCCGAGCCTCCCGCGGTAAAGAGACTACGAAGGACGACTTTACATCCAGGCAGGAAGCGGCCTCAGCCATCACAGGCGGCAAATAATGGGAAATGTGTAAAGGAGGAAAATTCGCCTCGTAAGGGTCGTCTCTCTTCTCGTCGCGTGGCCACGCGATCCATCGTCGTCGCAAACCGGTGGTTTTCTCCTCCACAACCGAGAAAGGGTATTATCCATCCGCCTGTTATTGTGGACGAAGCGTCCTCGATTATTCCTGCTTTTCGTAACTATCGCGCGTCAGCGGTTGGAATGCTTCGTGGAGTTTCGCACGCTTTACCGGAGAAGGGCAGAGGGAAAGGGGACCGCCCGACGAGTCCCCAAACTTGCATGAGTCTCTCCAAGGTAGCCGGGTTCAACCGGCTCTGGATCCACTCTAGGTTCAATGCGGGCACGCCGACTTGCTGTAGCGGGATGGTTCGTTCATCTTGTGGAGTGGCCGGACGCGTCCTTGTCGCGCGTCTCGTTATTTTGGCAGAATAATGGTAAAAATCATGGAAAAAAGCTCCTCCGCTCTCAGCCAGGGTTCCTGCCCTTCCGCAGCTTCTCCCTTCACATCAATGCGGCCAGCGACGACACCTGGGTCAGCATTGTGGTGCACTTCCCCAAATATCGAACCGTGTTCTGGGGAAGGTCGAACGGGTCGACGTGCTTCGCCAACTGCGAGATCAGCTGTGGGTCCAAATTATGCGTCTCCACGATTGGAGCAGCGTGCCGCAACACACCGCGTTTTATGGAATGCGCCGTGACATTCCAAGGAGCCAGAGCTCGTTCCACCTGGGCAGTCGTCAGGTTCGTGAGCCTTCCGTTGTTTCAAAGTGTCATACAGAGCTTTATAATGTCGAACGCATCCTGCCCTCGCATCCCCACGAACCGCGAGGCGCAGTGGGGATCCGCTCTCGCCGTCTTCGGTGCCACGGGCCAATACAAAACTAAGGCCCCGTCCGCCTCCAGTGTGAAATTGTTGGGAGTCAAGGCCGCGATCTCGGACCAACGACTCGCCGTTATCCACGCAAGTCGTAAGACAACACGTTCCTTCCAATCGGTCCGGCTGCGGATAACTTGATTCAACCCTTCCTTTGTCAGGGGGCGCGCCTGTTTCGTCTCCGAGCGCGACGCTATTTTTTGTGACCCCAGAATCACCATTTCCAGCGGGGTTCGATTCATTTCCAACATGGACCGCAGCATCCTGGCGTGCCGCGGTCGGGTCGATGGCGCCGCATCTAATATTCCCATCAACAAGGCCGCAAAGCTCTCCTCGTTCGTCGGCTGTTCGTGCGTGCGGCAAAAAGTCGTGAATTGCCCCGCGAGGGACATTCTCTGCTTCCACGTTGACGGCGCCCACATCTCTCGAGCGACCTCGTTCGCCCTCCTTGTGTGGCCGGCCCAAAGCAGAGATGTCGGTGTTTCGTCATACCACAGTCGAGCGTCGTTGGCGGATAAGCTCCATTGCCCCTATCAACGATTGTGTCGGGCAATTTGAGAGATCGGGTGGAGCATCGGCGGTGCGGTGCGACGTCTCTGTGGATTGGTGGGAGGTGGTGGGGCTGCCGTCTGTGCTGCGAGCAATTCCTCCCGGCTACGCCGCGCACGTTGCATGTGGACGCGTCTCGTCCACAAATAAGACACAATTGGCGTCACAACAATCGCTGTTGTTGCGTGCAAATGCGGGTGCAAAATTAAGAAAGCGGGATGCTGGGCCCGCTTTTTAGCATGGTCTGCGCCCGAAATGCCTGCAGTAGGGCCCTGCAAAAATCCTTAAAGCGATCCGCGAAATCCCGATCCATATCCAGTGCTCGTGTCCACGATAACGGACTGCCAAAGGCAAGTTGAGCCTGAGCATCCGCCTGGTGCCAATAATAACCGTATGCGCTCAGAAGGTCGGCGATGACTACGGAGACGCCCTCATTCCATATGCGCAGGGCCCAGGTGGCGACGCCGAATGCAATAAAATGCAGTACCTGATCCTCTGTACCGGAATGGGCGTCCAAGGAGGAGGTGCGGGAAGGCATATTCGTCATGTGGGAAAGATGTGGTCTCCCCAAATTTGCCCTGAGACGCCTGGGTGTTAAAACCGCCACCTCACTCCCGTAAGAATGCGTTGGGGAAACGTGGATGCTGACATGCCCCCAGCCATTAAACGATGCGGTTCATGTGGCCGCGTAGTTGCCCCGGCTTCGGACGTGCGTGGGGATTCACCTGGCGGCCCTCTCCAAGAGGTGGGCGCCTCTCGCTGACACGGCGTCTCCGCGTCCCGCGAGCAGCCTGCGCTACCAGGCCGCTGAAGCGTGCCGACAAGTTAGCATGC